CTTATAGTATTTAGTATTAATATTAATTAGAATATATAAACTATATTCTTAACTAATTCTATATCTAGCTACTAAGGTAGAGAAAGTATATACTAGTGTATACTAGTTAAAACTACTATAAAGTATAGAACTTACTTAAAATATAGAAAGATAATAATATTAATTACTATATTATAGTCTTATAGAATAAGTTTACCTTAACTCTAGGTATAGTTAGTACTTAAAATAGTTTAGAATTAATCTAGAAATATTTTTTAAGAACTTACTATAGTTTTTTAGATATAAGATCTAGAGCTTAACTATATTATAGTTTTTATAAAAGCTCTCTACTCTACTATCTAAAAGAGCTTATAGGTAGGTAATATTAATTTCTAGTAGTACTTTCTAGATATAGTGCCTTATATTATCTAGAGCGTAATTACTATAAGTAATAAACTAAGAGGTAAGCTCTATTACTTACTAGAATTAGTTAGAAATTATTTCTAAAATAGTTTAACTATATATACTATTAATTCTATCTAAAATAACTCTAGACTATAAGAACTCTCTCTATTAGTATAAATACTATTTCTAAACTAACGCTAAAGCCTATTAAAGTAGCTTCTAGTCTTTCTTCTCTTTCTATTCTACTTAATTTAGCTTATAAATATTTTTATTTACCTAAGTATCTTATATAAGCTTTTATTTATTTATAAGTAGATAAAATTCTATAATTAATTCTAAATATATTTATATATCTTAATACTAGAGTACTTAAAAACCTATCTTAAGATAGTTAAATTTAAGAAGAGGCTAAAAGTCTTCTTCTTCTTTACTTTACTAGCTCTATAGTATTAAAACTACTTATACTAGATTAGTTTTAAATTAATCTAGAAATAGTTTACGTAGGCTACTTATACTTTTAGTATTTTATAATACTCTCTTAACTAAAAAATATTATCTATTTACTTTTAAAACTTAAATAATATAAGTATAGTCTCTAGAGTCTATACTAAAGTATTAGAGTAGATATATAGTATACTTAATAACTCTAGCCTCTAAAAAAGGCGTACTACTATTTCTAGAAGTAAGTTAAACTATAATTTAGTTTAAATAAGTCTAGAATTATTCTAGAATTAATTTAACTATATACTTTAACTTAGTTTTTAATACTACTATTATTACTCTTACTAGAGCTAGATAAATATAAGTTAAATCTTTTATAGATATCTAAGTCTAATACATTAAAGTTAAGAAATTTAAGCTTAGCATTAAATATAAGCAAAGAAGGCTCTATATTATAATATAAGTATAATTTAGTCTAAATTAATTTAGAATAAATCTAAAAATTATTTAAATTAAAATTTTATTACTAAGTACGCTAATTCTCTTAAGTAGTATAACGCTAGCATACTATATTTTAAAAATTACCTATTTACGTTAGCGCATGCTATGTTTTAGCGCGCTCTTAGTTAGATAGACTGTATGCACTGACTACAGCTTGGTTGTAGCCCGGACTTGCGTCGACTCGAGTGTCTGAGATGCCGCTGCCATGGGCGTTCTGAACACGCTCGTGCTTGACCATGGTAGCGGGTCATCCTTGGACGCTGTGAGTGTGCGCGCGCCCGTCGTCTGCCATGAAAGAGCTTGAGAGGTGGGGTGAAGTCAACCAATAGGAGCCAAGCTAACCTCCAGGGTCCATCTGGGTGGGCTACCAGTGCGGAACCCCCCCACGCCTGATTTGTTCTCTGTCTTTCGCGCTCGAGCCTGAGGGATCTTTTCGCCACATGTTGGACGGCAAGATGTATTTGCTACGATGCTCATGTGTTGGCGTTCGAGCGCTGCGCAGCATCTACCCCATTCTGAAGACTCCGATTTACAGTTTAGCGGCTGGCCCGCGCGGCCCCGCGCTGACCGCGAACGCCCCAAGCCCGGACACAGGTCCAGGCACTCGCCTGATATTTATCGTCCGTCCATTGTTTTGCTACTTCACAGCGTCCTTTATCATATGGCACAACCTGCTCGCGACGCGTCAGATTGCGAAAATTCCATCTGGTCAAAGACCCACTCACAGCTGACACGATAAGGCGATCACACGGCGCTGGAATCGACTCTCGTGCGTCTGTACTAGCCCACACAGGTTTCGCATGAAGAGTATTATCGTCCGTTGGTAAGCTGGTCTCGCTTTTTTGGGTATGGTAATGTCGTATGCCGAATCGAACTCTCGATCCACTACGCAGAAATTCTATTCTCAACGCTAATCGCAGTCCCAGGCACGAGCCCTCTCTATGAACGGCTGCAGTCTCAAGCCCCGAGTCTCCCCACAACGATCACCGGGTTCGTACACCCACAAGCGAGGATGCGGCAAAGCGGACATCCCGCATGGGCGGTCATTGTGGAACCAGTGCTGGGGGGCTCTTTGCCTAGGATAAGCCGCGATTCGATACCCCTTGATGTCATGAACGTATCTCGCTGTGGAGACATATCTTGCTGGGTGATTAGTTTATGAGCTGTTCACGCTGTCCAACGAAGGTGGTTCTTGGTGTCATATGCCACCACATGACGAGGACGAACAAAGCCCGCCCTTCACTCTTTGGGGTTGTCATCCGCGGTTTGAGGACCTTGTACAAAACATCGATGCCGGCACATGGGTCGCTCCTGGCGACTGGGCCGGTGGCTGTTCTGTTACCAACGACCTGATCGAACACTTCCCCCGGGCGAGCAGCTCGCATTTCGTGCAGGATGGCAACACTCGGTACCCCACCTTTGATTTGGTCTCGCTCGAGATCATTCATACGAACCTGAAGGATATCGCGGTACAGCTGCGCGCTTCGTGCCCGCAGGCCATCATGGATCAATTGTCCGCGACCCTGGAGCACCTTGACCGATTGATCCATGGAAACCAGGAGACAGAGACTGTCAACGACGGGGCCAGCATCGGCTCCCTCAATCTGAGTGACCTTATTCGGGAGCCGTTACCCGATCTAAAGGTTGCCGACAATGCCAGCATGCACGCCTCGGATGACGAAGTTACTCTTTACGAGGGCGAAACCCAATACCTTCAAGCAGTAAACGGTGGGGCCACCAATGAAACCTACAATCTCTACCACGTGCTCATACAGTCAGATTATGAAGACAATGCCAGGATCCTCGAGCTTGGGGTTGCGGAGATGGCTGCGTACGAGGGCGACACGGACGAGCCTTCAACGCTTTCACTTGATTACGACTTCATCTACGCCGACGACATGGACGCCCAACCAGTCCAAAACCAAGTCGATGCCAGCGCGGTGCCTACACCATCCAACACCGGCCTTCTTCAGCAATTCGAATCAATGAACGTTAACGACTATGGAGAAGAGGTCTCGTCCCCGACCAATGGCCCACTTATCCCTCATGACCATCACGGCCCATGCGTAAATCAGTCCCTCGGTACCGACAGCACCGAGTCTGAACTTGGGCCTGGATTTGGCGACGATGAAGCCGTCATGTCGCGCTCTGACCTCAACCATGACCCTCAGCGGAAGCATCTTCCCGTGTACGACATCCGCCACCATGTGTGCACATCAAGGAACGGGTGGACGTGGGACTAGTAACCTTCTACCCACCACGTTGGTGGGTTGTTTGTCCAGAAACCTGCAGTACGAGCTAGATTGGATAAGAGATTGACATGCCATGCGCGAGTTCGGGTAGTACCTAAGCTGGAAGGGGTGAGGGGTTTGAAAGGTATACAAATTGCGAATGGGAACGAATTCGACGGCAGAGACGGCGTTAGGTGCTCATTGGCGTTGGCTTTGGCGTTGGCGTTTTTGCTTTCTCGATCAGAAGACATGTAGCTTGCGACGAAACAGGAAAATGATTGTAATGGTACTCAAGTACAAATGTAGCATGTGATCTCCTGATACCTCTTGCGTTGGTGTACCAGCCAACGTCATCTCGTTGGTTTGCTCGGAAGCAAGCCGCACTTCCGCATCTATCGCCTCCCCCGTCCTCGCAAGACTGTCTTCATCACTTTGCGCAAAGCATGACTCTCATTCAAGCAAGCTTTTACAGAAGTTCCGTGCTGCTCTTTTGACTAAGCCGTGGAAGATGTCGAGCAATATGGACCAAATGAGATACGCCCTCTCATGTTCTGGATGGCTGATACCAAGAAACTCTCCTGAATCAAGATGCACTACACTGAATAGTCGACCGTGTTTCTGCGCACAAGTCGCTGCAACCTTTTGGTGGCGAATATCGACTACACAATGCAGACGGCGAGGACCATGTAAGCGCGACGAGCTCATTGAGCTAGAATCCGAAAGTCAGGCATGGAGAAGAAACTGATGATCGAAACAGCCAAGTATCATCATGATAGAACCTGATACCTATGCATGAAAGGAAAGCACATGGTAAAGTTAGGACAGAAAGCTGACAGCATGACGGGGACGGGAATGGCGTTCAGATGCCTAACTGAATTCGTGCTAGATCTAGAGGCAAGGCTCATCACTCGAACGGTCTCTGGAAGCCCCACGCAAGATTCTGGCATTGGAAATGTTCCCATTTTTAGCCAGTAAACCTCATGTTGCTAGCTCGTCACCCTGCGTTTTCCTTGTACTGCATCATGAGATGGTCGGCACAAGAGAGCGGCCGTGGATCCAAATCCAGGAGGATGCGTGAGAGTAGCATGGTAAGTTCAGTAAGCGTTGAATGCATATGCGCTCTTGTTACTGCAATCTGCACATTTGCAGTGCCCTGCAACTTGTAGTAGTCATGCCCTGATCTCAGCAATGACCGCTTCGAGCATGCATATAGTGTGGCCATGTCTGCGACATAGCAATCGTGCATGTGGAACACAAATTGATGGTGTCGGCGGATTGTTGAGTCGGTTCAGAGGTAGCGGTAGCGGCAGAAGCCGGCTCGGAAGCTCCGGGTTTGTCGGGCCATTAGCAGGGACATCTTGAGTTGCACGGTTCGGAGGTGCCTGAAACTCCGAGTAGACGTTGAGCGTCTTCAATACAGTCTTCTTCAATTCCAATATTGGACACCGGAGTCTCGGCGCCATGATCTCAGTCCTCCCAAGCAACCATCCAAAGCGAAACTCAGACGACTTGTGCCTGTTGTCTTGATCTTAGCCGATGCAAGAGTGTATTTGGGGTATAGTCAGGATCGTTGGTGTCGCGAGATTGTGAAAGTGTCGTTCTGAACGAGACTTCGCGCACGCTCTGGAGAGTAAGATCGCGAACCGATTCGCGGGAATGTCGTAGCTTTGGGCCGCTTCATGAGGTGTTCGAGAGGGTGAGCCGTTGGGGTGCAAATGCCTGGTGCGGTTGCGCGAGACTGTGGCGGAAAGTGGCTATTTCGTGGCATTCTCGTCAACCGAGCAGTTAGAGATGGTACCGTACAGCCTCGGAGCTGGGCAGGATGTCATCGCATTACTACTCGGAAGAGCTGAGAGCAAGACCGAGTCAACGGCGACGTGCTAGTTTCCAGGTCGCAATCTAATACCCGTGTGTCTTCTCCTGTTGGTTGAGCTAGTGCCTTGTCCATGACATGATGGAAGACCCGGTGCCAGCTTCCTGATTTGCGATATTCATAGACCAGTCTCGTTTCTTGGCGTCGACATGTTCCTCGGAGAAGTTGGTGTTGTCGGTGTGTGTCTGAAGCCTGATGTCGGCCTCGTGCTGGGTTCACCGAGAATGGCAGCAGTTGAGATTGTCTTCGCCGGGGGCCACATTTGGCGCGCGGTCGCAGTCCAGGTACGTTGCGCTCGATACGTGTACGACATAGCTGCATGAGATGGCGTCACTCATACGCGGTTCGCAAACCAGTGGCGGCTGTGGCTATCAGCGCAAGCACTGCATGTACCGCTCTCGTCCAGACGCGATAGAAATCTCACACGGGCACAGCCTTACAGCATTCAAACAGCCACTTGTCCGAGAAGGGTCGCGTATACCGGCACAAGCGCTCCAGCTGCCCTGCTAGCCCCGGGTGTGGTCGCACATCCTCATCTGCTCATGACGGCCGAAGGCTCAATTGCTGCCGATGGGTGAATGTGCCAGGTGTATATGCATGGTGTTTTCGAGGTTGGGGCCGTGTGGTGACAGCTGCGGCGGGCTGCATGGGCGATGCAATGCGCCTCTCGATTCAGCTACAGCATGCGAGGCGGAGGTATGCGAGGCGGCGATATGAAACAGGCGGCGGTGTAGTGAGGTATTGAAATATGAGGGTCGTCCTAATGTCGCGGGGTAGTTGGCGCTTTCTCCGCGCGGCTGGTGGTGGTGGTGGTGGTGGTGGTGCTGATGCCGCGGAGCCAGGAGCCTGCAGCTGATCTGGGCCTCGGCGCGGGGAAGGCCACTAGTCTGCATCGGAAGCGTGCTCGAGCCCTAGAGGTCGCGGATTCGCAAGCATGCGGTGTCTTCCCAGCAGTCTTTCCATGGCAAAAGCAAACAAGGCGGGAAACGTTCCAAACAATCGCCTCCTCGGACTTCCCGTCGCAAGGTCAGAGATCAATTCCACTAAGTGCAATTACGTTAGATCGCTAGGGAGAAATCCCTGGATTTCCGACCTAGAAGATAGAACAGGGTGAGATGTATCTGAGTGACATGTTAGACGAAGGGAACCTTGGAAGTGCTGGTGTTGGGGTTGCGCGGCGGATGCGGGGCAAGCCGTGATGCGAGGTGTGACGCTACTCCTAGAGCGGCATGGCCTTGATCATCCATCATTCACACGGGCTTCGAGAGCGATAGCCATGCCTTTTCTCTCGTGAGTCCATGAATCCCTTGCCAATGATGATGGCGGGGTGCAGCATCCCCTTCTTCCATGACCACGTCGGCACGCGTCCTGCCATCTTTGACTGAGCTCGCCTCCCATGGCCTTCTTGAATGCGCGCCAATCCGTATTACTCGGGCTGTCAAACCCGCACAACACAATACGTCGCACTAGTCTGGTCGCTCCAACGATGCCGCTTGGCAGCACTACTTGTACAAGTATCCGTGTACGGCCACCGACCCATCTCGAGTCCATCTTGCTGACGATCCAGCCTAGGCCTCACCACCAATCGCACACGCTCCCGAACGGCTTCACGAAAGCCATACGACTTTCGCATCAACCGCAGAGCTCCCGCACACCAAAAACACCAGCGCCCATGACTCCTCCGACAGCGCCGATCGAAGGCACAGCCAACACCCCTCACACAAACTTTGTCGCGCGTTGACCGTCTTACGGCTTGGGACGATTGGCTGGCACACTGAACATGGAGGTGAACCATAACATGTCGAAGCAACGCGTACTGATAGAGTAGCCTGCTTCAGTCCAAATCGAAAGCACAGTCCCCTAATCGGTGAGGCCAGAAGAGCAAGGCCAGCATGCATGACTACTTCGTCTCGCACCACCCTATTCGCCAGACCCGACGCCGAGTGGAAGGTCGTCTCTGCTTCTTTGAGAAGAGCACACCGGCCACATCAACTTTGACGACTCATACGAAAATCGGTGTAGTATCTTCTTCCGCTCGCTAGAGGAGTAGCGGACCGGCTGCATCAACTTGGATACCTTACAAGAGACATACTGGGCTGGTTTGGGAGTCGGCTTTTCGCTTTGGACTCGTGCACCTCCAAAGATCATGTGAATGAGATCTCGTCGTCGGTTCCAAGTGAGTCACGGGCGAACAGCTATCACTCGCAGACCTGGGGCGACAGGGTCCGTTGTTCAGACATGGAAAGAAAAGCGTGCGCATCACGCTCGATCGCACCAACAAGGACGGCTTTTAGGACCCTCCCGCGAGGGCATCTCAGTTTTGCTTCGAACTCGATGCGTCCCTCGCCCCTTGAGTGTATGCTCGATGGCATTCGCGCCTTCGAATGATCGAACGGCTGTAGCACGAATGTTCTGCGAAATGGCCCACGTGGTCGCGGTCGGGGCTACGGCACAGCCAGGTGTCGGCTAGCTCTTGTGGGCAGTTAATGAAGGCTTTCAGGACTCGTGTCGAGCTTTCTTTGGCGGGATGATCTCGCATCTTTCGCGCGTCGCATCTCTTAGTCGGCTTTCGTGACGGGTCAAGAACCGCGATATCAAATCGACATGATCGACCACCACTTCACTACGCACGAAGGGAACTGGAGTGTCGAGGTGGAACGTTGGGGCGGAGAGCACGGCCCGTTACGAGCTGAGGTGCTGTTGTCATGTATGTGCAAATGATCGCATCGTCTCTTGGAACGCGCCCTGCGCGATAATGGCGACTTTTCGGGCTTCTGGATCACCAATAATGACGAGCAACGAGCAATGTCCCTTTACTCACTTATGTATTGCAGTCATGTCGTAGATGCTGTGACATATGCTGTCAAAGCCGATGCAACAAATTGTCGTAGCGTTGGTAGATACGCTGTCTGTTTCCGTCTTCACCAGGGCATCCCGCAATTGAAATTAACCTTCGTTGCTCCGACCCGCGCACTCACCGACTGACGTTGTCTGCCGACCCTTTCTAGTACGCTCACTAACTACGCTAAGCCTTCCTGGTTGCCAGTTATCCTCTGTCACCTCACGCGCTGGTCTCTTCTCACCATTATGCGCCCTCATTTCGCTGTGCCACCACTCGCGACCTGAACCATTGTGAAAGCCCTACCGCATCATGAAGCAAGAAAATGCGACCAGCAATCTCGGACACCAAGGGTACATGCGCAACAGGCTAAAACATCTGATGAAGGGATTCAAGTCGACCGCCCGGAGGCAGATCAGCTTATCCAATCGGGTTCCGGCCTTCCTTGCAACGAACGAGACTACAGTCAAGGAACCCGAGCGTGACACTGGGGATATTATGGATATGAGTCCAGACCGGCTCTTGATGGAGGCAATCAACAAGGTGACTCGTGGCTACGATCATGGTGAAGTCTACAAGAACATGACATACGGCTTGGCCGGCGAAAAGCGCTACCAGTTTGCTCGCGCTACTTCAGGCCTCTACAAGATCGAGAGCGACCACCAAAAGGACTACAAGTGCGGTGGTCAGCTCCCGGTCTGCGGCACCCCCCAGCGTGACCGCTACGAGGAGCGCGATCCTTCGGCCCACCAACAGGACACGCTTCAGCGCGAACAGCCTATCAATTTCGATGAAGAGACGAAGAACCTCGACCGCTTGTGCGAATGGCTGGATAGTGTTCCGCTGGATCATGCCGCCTTGAGCACGGACACGGAAGAAGATGGAGAGAATGAGAAGCCCAGCGATTTAATCAAGAGGCATCTGAACGATGACATCAATCGAGTGACGAGAGACTACAGACCTGGTGAGACTATTGCCCAGATCAAGGATGTCATGGATGGAGGCCACCGATACCATCGCGCTCGCCAAAGCGAAGAGAACAATCGTGCCACGGGCAATGATCAGGCTGCGGTCAACTATTCAGTAAACAGCAACCACCAAGGTCCAAGCGACAGTCATTGCGCATTCCAATATGGCCACGAGACCTGGGTCAACAGCAGCAGCGATCAGCGTGCAGCCTACGAGCATCAACATCATGAGTTGTACTTCCATGCTCGGTAAGCGATGCGCACGCGAACACATCATGTCTACGGGTTCGACCACGATAAGAATAAGGAGGGTTGTGGGGAGGCCGTCTCGAAGGAATGTAGGTAAGGCTTGCAGAAACGCTTCGATAATACAAAACTGACTCCAAACTAGCCTGTTCATTCCCTCCGTCTCGTCTACATCTGTTCTTCCAACCTTTCGTCTCCCGGCTAGACCCCAACATTACGGGACGACGGAACTTTGGCTTCATTGAGAACACGGCAGCGCATATCGGAGGAGACGAAATGCGGGACAAATTAGGAACGCTTTCTGGCATCTGTTAAAGTAGCTCAAGTAGCACGAAGTTTGATGCAGACTTGGAGAAGCGATAAAGTCGCGCTCACCTTGGTGGTTGCTGGAAACGTTGTCAACAGAGACGGAGGTGTCGCAACTGTAAGGGACCCGAAACTTAACAAGGCAGCGCATGCACATCTTGGAGGCGAAGAAGTCCATAATCTCACAGTGAATAGTCATTGGATTGGCTATACTCGCCATTCCAGAGGGTCTGTCTAGGCATGCAGGTATGACATGGGGTTTAGAAGTTAAGAGTTCACTGTCCGTAATGTCGCTCTTGTAAAGCGCATCTTGGGCTTCTTTTCCTAATTGCAATACTAGGCGTGTCGCTAGCAGCATGTCTAGGTGGCTCCCATGGCGTGCTCGTGTAGCCTCGACAGATGTACTCGGTGCAATTAACCCGGTCAAGTGGATCGCAAAGGCTCCAAGACGCACGCATCGATGCAACTTTCCAGTCTGACAACCCGCTCATCTCATGACGATGGCCTCATACCGATCCGCTCAAGATCTGTAGGACCAGTACGGCATCGTGGTCTTTGTTGTATGCTTGGGGCACGGCCGCATCTGAAGTTCCTCTCGCTCTTCCGGGTCGGGGTCGAGTCGTGTGTGAGCACTCAGTCGTATGACAGCCGGTCGCTTAGCGTTGTGGAAGTCAACAGGGCTCGATGGTAAACGTGACGTCGAGTCGAAATCGAGTAGCGGCCGTCAGTCCATGTTCGAGAGCTAGTGGAGCGGCGTCTGCCCCCAAGTTGAGAGTACCTGGGTACTTGGAGGCTTGTGGTGAGTCGGATGGTGGAAGCAGTGGTGACCCAGTCACCGGATGTCGCGACGAGCCATAGCTCATATCCGGCCGGAAATGTTGTTGCGCGTGTAAGTTTGGTCGAGGTGGGGAGTCGCGGAGTGTTGGGCGGTTGCGCCCGATCGAGTGAGCCGTCCACGCTAACGGCATAGCGTTCTCAGGGTTGCGCCCGCAAGCCGAGGTGAGGGGGTGAGACCGCGCAGGCCTGAGAACACACATCGCTAATCCTGACTCCGATGCACCCGTGGACGTCGGCCTCGCTGGAATGCGCAGCACCAGCAGAGACGAAGGCACTGCAGCCATATCTCTACGAGGCTTTATGCGACGCAAATAGCAATGACCATCTCCACTGCGGCGCCCAGCTGTACTATTCACGGGTGAAAAGCTTCCTGAACGCCAGCGTACCCGAGCGGGGTGCAGCCTCGCAACCAAGAGAATAGCCCCACGGGAGACGACCCGTGGAGGTGCAAGAATGTGAATGGGCTTGGTGAATGGGTTCCAGCGAAGGAGACGTTGAGCGCTACTATTGGGGCCTTTCACGCAACGGTGGTGTCTGCGGCAGCTGCTTTGAAAGACGGGCTGCCATAAGTACGTTGCCACTTTCACGAAACGAGGCGTGGGGAGAAATTATGTGAATGTCTCCTGCAATCGCATGTGCCAATCGAACTAGTTACACGTAGTGACTGCAGCGCTATCGTTCGCAAGGGACAGTCAGGGCTCCGCCAATACCAAATCTGCTTGCTTCAAGTGTCGGTACCAGCGGCGCATTCTGGCTCGTGTAGCTGCTCAGTGAACGACATGTGTATAGGTAAAGCTTCCAGTCGCGTTGTAATGCAAAGCTAGGGTCTCTTTCCGAAAGCTCGGGAGTGCTATGTGCCCAGATGTGTAGCGAAATTGTCATTGGCATAAGTTATCGGACTACCTGTGCCGCATCCACAGCACCCACGCCCATAAAACTAGAGACAGATAAAGGAAGAAGACCGTGATGGCTGCACAAACGAAGGTCGAGTACGACTGCATCCTTGTCTGCAAAGTCTGCCTCCAATGGGGACGGAGACAGCGGTGGCAATCGTCTATGGTTGCAGAAGCTTTCTGCAGCTGTAGTCGCCCTGCGCGAGCAAACATAGCAGAGTAGAAGGTGGCTTCGAACGCCCGACATCGATCCTGAATACGAGAAAAGATGGACTTTGACGCGCCACATGAAGAGCTTAGAGCGTGTGTAGTTCTGGTAGCGGTGGACGCCTCATTCCGCCCAAGGCAAGGCAGACACCACCTCTAGGGCTGCAGGCGCGGTTAAAACTTCCGGTGTGGTTGAAGGTGGTGTTGGTAGAGCGGGGCTGTCCGACAGGCGCAAGGTGATGAACGTTGTGCAACGAGACAAGAAATAATTTGACAGTTTGACATCTGCGTCGACAGTGAAGATGAACACCGCCTGCTTTATCGCAGTCAATCGTGTAAAAGAATGATGGTTCATGTCTTCCGTGTGCTTTTGATGTTAGCTACGTCTACCCTCTCTCTAGTGTGTGCTTACATGAGAGGTCAAGATACCATTCAAAAATGCCTGGTAGGGCGCTACTGTGTGAACGTCGTTCCCGATCACTATGGTGAGGTGATCTGGCGTGCACTGGAGATTTGTGAGGCGAGCAAAAAGATCCCGTCCGTGAGTCTCGGATCCAGTGACCGAGAGGCAGGTGGTCAATCTTCCGTTCGACGCGGCCATAGTAGCGAGCCGGTTTGCGAGAATCTTTGCGTACGTCCCAACATCAGTTCCTGTCTCCGCTCGTACTACTACCACCATTCCGTCATGAGGCTCCATAGCGGCCAAAGTACTGTTCTGGATGTTATGTGTGGTACCAGCCCAGAAAGGATCTGGTAGCACCTTTTCCTCGTAGAACGGTCGGGGCGGTGGGAGTGCGGACGACCTTGGCATCGCAATTGATGTGATGGAGTATGCTCGGCAAGCTGTTTCGAACCGACTGGATACGATGAAAGACCTGCCCGCTTCAGTTTAGCTCCGTAAGACGTCTTTGAAGTGGACAGAAACGCAGAGAAAACTCACTCGCTAGTATGTCGAGATCTAACCGTCCAGATGAGAAATGAAACTTGGACGAAATGGTCACAGAATAGCTGATCCAGAGTAGCCTTGGTCGGTATCAGGCAATAAGAGGTGCCGCACTCAAAGATCATGCGTCAAAGAACGGAGTGGCAACTCGCGATATGAGGTTATCGAGTGTTCTTTTGGTCGTGATAGAACGTTACGTGTCTTCATTCCTACCTCTTATAAGAGTAAAGGATGCGGTCACGTAGCGACAAGTCTGGGCGGGGTGCTAATAGGTCCAGTCCGAGAGACAAACAATGCCAAATGAAGCCAAACAAATCTACTGCCACACAGTCACGGCACCTACTTCCAATTCCTTTGACTTCATCAATTACTATGGCAGATCAAAAGACTCCACCCCGCTTTGAGAATCTCCTGGCAAAATAGCTTCACCAGCGGTAACAACTGGTGGCAGCAGGGCCTTGCGCGAACAATGGAATTGATAGAAAGATGGGCTCACGCCGCGTTCGCAAATTCTGTGGGAGGTAAGGCGGAATTCTTGTAACACGTGTCGCTGGAAGACATGTGCCCGTGCAAACACCGTCTTTCACCGTACCATTGGGCCTTTCCTCAGGACTGTCTATTGTCGAAAGATGGTGTCATGTATGACACTACCGATCGTATGTTTGCGGATTCGTCATCCAGTACACGTGCGTTTGCTCTCTTTCGGGAAAGCAGCAAAATACATCCCGGGCGCTCTTCATTACAGAGAAGACGCGTACATCTCTGACCATACATCCTATAGCGCAATGTTCAAGATTAGTGACTTAAACTGACAGATGCATTCTCGTATTGGAAGAAGCATTCTCGCTATAAGAACTGGTATTCCGCGAAAAATCCCGAAAAATCCCGAAGAGTACCGGAAGGTCGCTGCCAGATTTGGGAATACCAAACTCGCACTATTACGTCTGGGGCTACCTTTCACGACATAATTGCGTCCATATGCTTGCTTACTCGAGGAGCCGAACCCCAACTGTGAACGCGTAGCTTGATCTCGGATGTCTGGGCAGTCGCAGCCATAGCGCATTGATGAACCTTTACGCCATGTGTGTTAGCAGATTGCATGGGCGATGAGGCCTGCAGCCTAGACAGGCGCGAATGAAGCTTCTTTCGATGAATGCGTGGCAGCCCAAGCGGAAATGCTGCAGACTTCGCTCGAGATAGCAGTATTGAGCCCGACGCCAACCGGCGGGGACGCTCATGCATCTAAGTAGCAGGACGACGCTGGAGGTTCAGCTTGCAGTCGGTACAGGGATTCTACAGCACTGGAGTGCAGGAAAAGCTACGTGGTGGATATGCGATCAGTGAGGCGTTGGGCAAGCACAGGGTGGTGGACGTTGCCATGGCGTGGGCGACGGTGGGATGGGTGTTGGTGTTGGCGTGATGTGGGGTATCGTGGGGCGGCGGGACCGGCCAATCGGCGGCATCCGAGTCGCGCCTGCCATGTCGAGTACGAAGACGCGTTGGCCTGCCCTCCATGTCCACAACGCCCGACCATGTATCGCCCACGGTTCATTGCCGGTCGAGACGTATCAAATGACTAGGTCGCCGTTGACAATGTAACACCAAAAGGTCGCTGAGCTCTCACAGACATCTCAGTGATGTCACATCACCTAACCATCATGCGATAGCCGGTACAGGTACGCGCACAGCGGTGGCGGTACTGCGAAGAACGCAAAGCTGACTGACGGCGCAGTACATAGCTATGGATTGCATGCCAGTACCTCGCTTTTTCTCTAGCTACGACGCTCCAGAGTACGATGCGGAGGCCGGCAAAGAGAATGC